GGGGGGGGCAAAGTAGAGACACCAGCCTGTCCTCTGTGTTCCATGCATGGATCCCTGGAGCTCATCCTAAGCTGCTGCCCAAAGGCACTGAGTGAGGGCTGGTGCTGTTGGAGGCATGACCAGGTCCTGAAGGTCACTGCTAAAGCCTTCAGCTCAGGAGTGGAATGGGCTAAATGTTCCTGCCCCTCCAGGCCGGTGATCACCTTCATCAGAGCTGGGGAGCAACCAAGATCTGCTGCAAGAACCTCAGCAGGTGTCCTGGACGAAGGTGCATGGAGAACAAGGTGTCTCCCTGTGGAGGTCTGCTGCAGGGGCTTTGCAGCCCGATTTTCAACTAAAGCCTTCAGTTAGTTGGGTATTGAAGGTGAGAGGAAGAGAAGAGCTGCAGCACCATCAAAGCGACAGAGAATGCCTGACAGAAAAAGATGGCTGTTGCTGAATAGAGGGGAGTCGTGGGGGCAGAGGAGCCAGTAAGCCACCTGGACACAAGCTGGGGTCTGATCAGTCCCAGCCGGGTCGCCTGGAGGAGGGTGTATGATGCTGAAAAATCCAAAACACCCTGTGATTCCAGGAACATCACTGAGGATGAGTGCAGGAGATGTATTTGCACTGCAACAGAAGAATTTAGGAATGAATATTTTTCTATTAGTCCAAATTTCTGTAGTTTATGAAATATGCATTTAAACTTTTTACTCCATCAGTTTTTAAATCCAAACTTTTTAAATCCATCAGTAAATTTTCCATGAGGTGTTTCCATATAATTGTTGGTTCTCCTGCAGCCCAGTTACTGTTGGTATCAGGGTTGTAAAAGTGCACTGTCCTTCTCTTATACTGTAATGTGGGTCACAGAGGCTTTTACTTTGAATAAGGATCTTCTGGTACTAATGTGTGTGAAATGATCATCTAACAGCTCATGATGAGATATGATGAATTTTTATTTAATTTGTCCTTAAGGAATGAATGATCATTAATGGTCTGACATTGTTAAATATTTTTCTTATAATTAGGGGTAGCTGGTGTGATGTATGATAGGTTGAATTTACCATATAATCATAAGTCCCATTTTTATTTTATTTTAAAAATAACTTGTGTTTTCATTTTGCAGCTACATGGCGATTAATTATACGCCTCACTCTGAGAACTGTATTTCCCCTCATTATGGTTGCTGTCCTAACAGGTAAGTTTAAGTGTAATTAATGGATTTGAATCATTAAAGTAAAGCAGAATAAAGCAGCAGTTCCTTGTAAAATATTAAACACACTGTGGTGCATCTTTGAAGATGCCAAACATACTTCAGTGTTTTAGCACATACTGCTCATTTTTCATCTCATTACTGTACAGACATTAGGTGATTTTGTCATTCTCAGGACCTCAGGCTTTAAAATACCTTTAAGTCAGAGCTTGATTAACACATGAATCCACAGGTTCGTCACCCATGCAGTAACTCAGCTGAGGGGCGGTCCTTAGTAGGGTGGGTAAGACAAGGACCTGTAACCTGAAGTTTTCCAGCCCAAGTCCTGGGAGAAGCTCGGCCTGTTTACCTTTAGACAGGTGCTTAACCTGAACTGCTCCAGTGCCCAGCTGTCTGAAAGGGGACGGTTTTAAATAGCTAAGAAATGAGGATTATTTAAAATTAGGGCTGCAAGATTATTGGAAAAAAATCACATCATAATGTTTGATACTTTTAGGGCTGCAACAACTAATCGATTAAAATCAACTATTAAAATAATTGGCAACTAATTTAATAATCGATTAGTTGGGTCTACGTTATTCAATGGCGCAGATAGGATTTTTGAATTTGGGGGGACCATGCTTAGCCAGGCAAGTGCCGCTCAATTTCATTCACCTCTAGCAGGGTTCCCACGCATCCTGGAAAACTTGAAAATTTTGAGGGTTATTTTCCAGTCATTGAAATGACCTGGAAACTGATAGAAATGGCCAGATGTCCTGGAAATAATCTTTCTTGTCCTGGAGTTTTATTTCTGTTTTCACTTTTTAATTTTTCTGTTTGAAACAGCTCGCTGTTCGTAAGTCTAGATATGATGACAGCTGAGCTAGGTCGTAGCCTCTGCTGTGCAATGTCGCCACCTACTGAGACATGTATAGGCAATTATATTTGAGTTTTGACCCTCGTTGCTCTAGCTTGTCAGTAGCTGACAGGAGAACAAGAGAACATCAGTTCATCACTTGAAATTTCTGCTGAGTGCATGACTGTAAGTATGACCACAGTGCATATGGTGCAACTGACAGTTTTGTTACTTCATACCATCTGATGTGGACCCAGGTCGCATGTTAAACATGTCAAGTAAATTGGCAATGCTAATTTCTGTTAGCCTGTTAATGGCAATTCCCATTAGGTATTAGCATAGTGCTAATTGTCTAATGACGGTAATCGATCTAAAATTATTTTGTAGGCCTACTTGGTCCCACTGTTAAGCAAATAAATTCAGTGAACCAAACCTAAAACAGCACAAACACGATAACAGGCTTTCATTTAAAACAAATGGGGCTTAGGCTTCTTGAAGCCTACATCTATATGCCTGTGCTTGTGTGTTTGTGAAGGTTCGTGTGATATCCTTGCAGCTGAGCAATCACCACTCAATAAATATTACTTGGCTTGTGCCGTTTATTTGCACAACTGAACACGCTTAACAGCTCCTGGCTCAACTTCTTATTTTAGCTAGCTTCCATTATCTAATATCTATTCCATTTTCTAGATAAAATCTAACTAAACGTAAAAGTGTTGCTGAAAAAAAGAGAGGTCATTGGTCTGGATGCAGTTTTATCAGACCTCAAGAAGCGTCTTCAGAGGTGTTGGTAGAGCAACACCAGTATTGTTTCTAAACCTAAGCTTAACCCTAAACCTAAGCCGAAACCTAAGCCTAACCCTAAGCCTACACCAGATGCCTTTTTCATAGGTTACACTACAGTGACTTATACAGTAGATTGTTTTTTCCCAGTATACTGGAGTTCAGGCTGTTATCCTTTGTTCTTAGTTTTCTTTCTAGTTTAACGAAGTTTTCAACTCAGGAATCGATGGCAAGGCTATCATGATTTTAAATGGATGTATTTAGCTTCATTTCCCACAAATATAAGTTCTTTATTATAATCTTTGTCATTGACTTATGCACATTGTACAGCTGCTGTATTCCCAGTAAAGCTACCGGTTGAAAGTTAACTCTGACTTTCTGTTTTGTCACGTGCCAATTGTTGCATATATTAGTGTTATATACATGATATAGGCAATGAATTGGCTTTATGCAGTTTTGTTTAACACAAACATTGTACATAAATTTATGATACAGACAATGACATAAAATGTAATATGCAATATGCAAGTAACTTTTACTGAAATTAGGTCACTATAGTAGCCTATTTCATGGTGTGATTAACAGCTCTATACTGAACATTATGGAATTGCTCAGTATATGCCACTGTTTGGATAGTTTTCCACAATCCAAGAGGCATTTATTTCTTTAAACGAGTTTTGCAGTTTAAAACAGTATGTCACAAAAAGAGGGCAAACAACTCCATTATACATCAATGCATTAATTGGTGTTGCCCTTATGTAATTTAGCATATCAGTGACACTAAGTCCCTGCATAATCTAAGAGAAATTAAAATGGCGTTAAGCCTGCGACTAAAGTGTATGACTGTATGACCAGATCCTGTCATGAATTTTCGGAAAAAGCTCCTGGAAATGTCCTGGACTGGTGCTTAATTAGGCCTTAACTGGTGCTTAATTAGTCTATTTATGTAATTTAGGCCAATGGTTTGCAATAAAAAACAATAAAATTAGATACTTATTTGAAACAACAGAGCAACAATGAACACCATCAACAAAGTCCTACTTGATAACATAAGAACATAAGAAATTTACAAACGAGAGGAGGCCATTCGGCCCATCAAGCTCGTTTGGGGAGATCTTAACTAATAGCTCAGAGTTGCTAAAATCTTATCTAGCTCTGATTTAAAGGAACCCATGGTTTTAGCTTCCGCTACACTAGCAGGAAGACTATTCCATAAACGCTACCCATACAGGATAAACCTTTCATTTGTTAGTGTGCCAATCAATCACCAACCAAATCCTTATGCCTTATGCAAAACATGTTTTATTTAAACATTAACTGATTTTCAGCATAATAATTCTTTGAGAAAATAGGAACTAAATAATAAAACTGAAATAATTCACTTTCCATTTAGTGTACCTTGCAAACACGTTAACAACATATTTACATAAAATTGTAAAGTAGTCTACATGACAGTTTAAAAGGAATTCACTCCAATGCAGGCAAACAAATGTACTGTCCAGAAACAGATTAGGTAAAGGACCCAAAAACCTCTCTCCTCCTTTAATTTCCCTGAACATACTGCTGGGCATTTTCTTGTCTGTTCAAATTGTCCAGCCTCTCCTGGTGAATATGGCACACCGCAACTCCATTCAGCCTTTTCTGACTCATGGTTGACCGCAACCATGTTTTTAGTCTCCGTAACCCACTAAAACTGCATTCTGCCTCAGCAGATGGTATGGGCACTACCATCAACAATCCAGGCCACGGACTTCAAGGGGCATTTCTTTTAAAGCATGTGCAGCATCCGCAGTTGTGGTGGCATTGTACTTGCTTTTAAACATCGCCAATTGCACTCTCAATTGCCTCATATGTAGTTGGAGACAGGAGTGAGGCCTCCAATTCTTTTAAGGTCTGGATGCCTGGTTGCATAAACCTGTCACTGATTTGTGCATCTGTTGTTTCTAAGACACGGTAGAACTCTATTTTGTAAAACTCCACAGCTGATCCAGGTGTGTATGCAGGAGCTCTCCCAGAATATCTTTTAGGGGGCCTAAGTGTGCGTGGTAAAACAATGGGCTCTAGAGTCAGTTTGTCACACATGTCCTCTGCCTCCTTAAAGATTGCCTCAAAGTGTTCAGTGTTTCTTTTTGATTTCAAACTGTGTTGGACAAGGGAGACCGCAGAGAGCATGCCCTCCATTGTCTGGGTGTTTTTCTGAAGAGATGCATTGAGTACTTGTAATTCACTGATCACGTCTAACACAAGCATAAGCCCCAGTACATTACCCTGTTGTAGTCAAATATGTAAACCCTCTGCTCGACTTGGTGATTTCAGTACTATCCCATATTGCCTGAGAACGGCACGAATAGCAGGTGAACGTACAGTCCACCTTGTGGGACATAAAGGCCTGATGGACTGGTCTGGCCCCTCCCTTTCAGTTGCAGCAATGGCTTTAAATTTATCTTTTAGTTTACCAGACTGACCAAAAAATGTGCCAACATCATGAATCCAGTCAAGAGCATTTCGTACAACAGCTGAGGCTGAGCAAGCTTGTTGTGTAACTAAATTTACACAGTGAGCACCACAATGCATATATAGTGCTAATGGCTGTGCTCGTTGAATGACTGCCTGTGCGCCTGAGTATTTTCTAGACATGTTTGAAGCACCGTCGTATGCTTGACCTCTAAGGCCCGATATTGGCAAATTCAACCTCAACAGCACATCCAAAATGATCCTGGCAAGATTTTCACCTGTTGTAGAAGTTGTCTTATACAATCCAATAAACTCTTCATGTACCAGCAAATCATTGTCAACATAACGCAGACACACCTGAGATATCCCTTGTCCTATCCATAATGATGGAATACTGTAAAATTGGGAGAGACCGAATTTCATCTGCAATTTCCCTAATAATAGATGAACTCATCAAATTGATAACATCATTTTGACAATCCCAAGTGTGCACTCCCCTCTTTGCAGACAACCACCTTGTAAAAGCTGGATCATCTTCAGCTTTGTATTTTAAAAGCTGGTCGAGGTTACCTTGACGATGTTCATGCCCCCTAAAGGCTACTCCCTGCCTTGCCAGGACCATCTCACCCCCTATTATTTTTAAAAGGCTAGCTCTGTTTTCTGCCTGTTGTACACTGACTGCACTGCTCAATTGTGTGCTAATTGGACTGCTCACATATGCATCTGTTGTGATAGCCACTTTGTGACCTGCGGATTTCTCGTGGAAGGAAAATTTTTCATGTGCTTTTTTTCAATTTTTAAATCTGAAACTGGGTCTATATTCTTGGCTTGTGGTGGTTTTCCACTCTTGTAGTATTTAGAGCACTGAAAACACAAAACACCATCAGTACCCGGACTGACATGCAACCAGGGA